TTTTCTCTTACTTTATACAGTTTACTGTGTGGAAAAATGGAAGGAGGATTTTCATTGGTTTTTGTTAATTTTCTCACAGCTGTCAGTTTTATTATATTTGAGGAACAGTAAAATCTAAATTAAACCTAAATTAAAACCTAGAAACCTAAGTGTTTATGTATGGAACCTCTGAAGCTTTCTGTGTGGCAGTCAAGAAAAATCAGGTGTTGTGTCTGACTCACCGATTCTGTAAATGAGAACTTTGCTGCCCGTGGGGTCTCTCTCTCTCAGGACTCCGAGGTAGCCAGCCTTCAGAAGGCCAAGAATACTTCTGGGGTGTAGATCTGCACTTATTTCTGGACATTCTGCTCTCCACTTATAATAGTTTTTTAGTAACTGAAAAATAAAATAAAAATTGTCTACAGATAGCGTACATGGTAAGCATTTTGTAAAAGGGGTAGGAAAGCCTTGGCATTACGTGTGACCCTTGCCCTCCGTTACGTCAGGATTTTAAGCTAGGGTATCTTCTTAGCTGTAAAAATTAAAAGCTTCCTTCAGCAAGGATCTCAGGTGATAGGCGTTAATCGCAAATTCAAAGTTGAGTAATTCTTATTCGTCTCCTGTGGTGAGTGGTCTCCAGAGGTAGCTGCCAGCAATACCGCTCCTCTTGGTGTACACATGCCATCCTTCCCATCAAGAAGTGGAATCCCAAGGGTGTGAAGTACAGCATAAGGGATATAGTCAATAATACGGTAATAACCATGTATAGCACCAGGCGGGTACTAGACTAATCGAGGGATCGCTTAGTCAATTACATAAATGTCTAACCATTATGCTGTACACCTGAAACTAATATAAAATAACATCGAATGTCAACTGTAATTGAAAAAGAAAAAGAAAAAGAAAAGAGGTGGAATCCATTTGATTCCTTTCCCTTGAACTTAAGTTGGCCTTATGTCTTGCATTGACTGATAGAATTTGGCAGAAGTGATAACTTCCTAGGTTTTAAGAAGCCTGGGACTTTTTGTTTTTGCTTTTTGGGATCCAGACACCATGTCAGATTACAAAATGAAAAGTCTATGCAGAGGGAGGCCCTGGAGGATGAGAGGCTGTCTTACTTAGGTAGCCTGACTTCAGCCAAGTTCTCATCTGATGCAACGTGGAACAGAGAAGAATATCTCCACTAAGCCCTGCCCAATGGAAGGATCACAAACGAATAATACTTGTGGTTTAAGCCACTAAATTTGGGGGCGACTTGTTACGTGGCAATAGATAACTGAAACATCTACCTTTAGTCTTTTTAAAATAGCGAATCGAAGTCAATCAAATCAATTAACTCTACAAATGTTTTTGGGACATCCACAATGTTCCACACACTGTGCTAGGCACTGAGTTAAAGCAGTAACCAGAATAAGTCTCCACTGTCACTGGAGGTGACCTGTTGATGACAAGTGGAATCACATAGGCCATGCTCTACAGTGAAAGGTTCAGTTCTCAGGCTGCTTCTTTAGAAAAACTTCAGTTCTGCCACTTCTTACCTGTGTGATTTTAGGTAAGTGTTTAACTCCTTTGAGTCTTGTTTCCTCACTGTCTACCTGATAGAATTTTGTGCAAAGCATCACATGTGGACATAATGAGTGGCAGTTAACACTGCCATTTTTATACTAGAGAAAGTCATTTGGATTAATTGGCTCATCCAAGTATTTAGTAAAGGTTTACATTCACGATAACTACAATCTTTTGTCTTTATTTTCTTTCTTATGAAAAAAAAAGAGCTAAATCAAAGATACAAAGGAGCATTTCTATACCACTGCTATACTTTCTATTAATAGTAAAACAACAAAAATCGACTTCGTTAATAGTGATATGCATTCGGAGAGCCTATGGAACAATATGCCTGGATATTAGGTCTTGATAAGATATAGTTGAAAAGAATCCCATATTTTTGCCCCAAAAGAACCACCAAAATGGTTACTCTACATTTACAAATAACACAAACATCGCCAGTGTATTGTGAAGAATACTAAAATCAAATTACATATTTAAAATCTACTACATTTTAATTTTCCTCTTCATACTTTTCAGCATTCTCAATTTTTCTAAAATGGCAAAATATTTGTTTTGAGTTTAAAGAGATCTCTTAGCAATGTGAAACTGAAGTTCAGATGAAGTGAAAGAACACATTTTATAATTGAGAATCATTGGAATAAACGTGATAACTGTAACCACAAAGTACTAAAAATCTGGAGGAGAAACTACAAATACAAATTTAAAAATCAAGTAGAGGGTGGAATGCCAAGCTGTGGGAAATCCCAATGAGTGGGAATGGCTAGAGGAAGAAACTGGTTGGATTGTGGCAAAACCCCACCATAGGTACACAGAGGGAAGAAAAAGACATCTTGCTTCTGCTCTCTCTGGCTCTCTCTCTCTGTCTCTCTCTGTCTCTCTCTGTCTCTCTTTCTCTCTCTCTCTCTCTCTTTGTCTCTCTCTCTCTCCCTCGTGCTTGCATGCTGATATTTCTTTTTCTCTTTCTTTCTTCCTCTTTCATTTCTTCATTTAATACATTTTTCTTAACTTTTTTTTTTTTAAAAAAAGAGAATGTTGCTAAAAATTAAATGCAACAGAGAGGTAAGAAAGAAAAAATGTCAGTAAATTTGATGACCAAGAAATAATTGGTAATCTAAATAGCAATTTCCAAAGGCAGTAAGAACAAAAAGCACATTGTAGATTCTGGTAGATTCATTTTATTCTATAAGATGAATTCTTCATCCTCCTGTCTTAGGGAGCATCAGAATAAGTATTACTAGCATTGCACAATGCTCGTTACATTTTTCAGGCATAAAAATAAGCCTTTTAATTATGATTCAAGCAAACTGCTACCCAAGAGATAGGTGCATGTGTTGAATGAAAGAATAAATTACAGTAGTGCCTCCTTATATGCAGTTTTACTTTCTATGGTTTCAGTTACCTGCGGTCAACCCCAGTTCGAAAATATTGAATGGAAAAGTTCAAAAATAAACGTTTTGTAAGTTTTAAGTTGTGCACTCTTGTGAGTATCGTGATGAAACCTCACGCTATCCCACTCATTCCTCCCTCTGCAAAGACTCATCCCTCTGTCCAGTGTCTCCATGCTATAGAGGCTCCCTGCTCGTTAGTCACTTAGTAGCCATCTGGGTTATCAGATCGACTGTCGTGGTATCTCAGTGCTTGTGTTCAAGTCACCCTTATTTTGCTTAATAATGGTCACAAAGCCATTCATATAACTTTGATTACAATATGTCATAACTGTTCTATTTTACTATTAATTATTGTTGTTAATCTCCATAACTTTGATTACGATATGTCATAACTGTTCTATTTTACTATTTTACTATTAATTATTGTTGTTAATCTCTTACTATGCCCAGTTTATAAACTAAACTTTATCATAAGTAATATATAGGAAAAAGCAGACTATAGCTAAGGTTCAGTACTATATCTGGTTTCAGGCATCCACTGGTCTTACAAAGTGTCCCCTGACCTTTGAGAGTGGGGACCACTCTCTTGTATAAGTAAATCAGATGAATCCAAACAGTTGGAAAAATGATTTTTGTAAAGATGCACAAATAACTCTCATGCCTTTGACATTTTACTTTTACAAATCAAAATATCTAAACCTGTATCTTTATTACTCTTTCACCGATAAATAAAATCAAAGGTCCAGTTGATATCATAAACAATGTAAATGATATAAACGGCCACTGAGCAATTCTCAAACGAATCTCCTAAAATTCACAAGACAAAAAAAAAATGGGTGCAAATGAATATTATTATTGGAAGGCACCTGTTTTGTACTAATTAGGAAAAAAGAAAAAGAAAAAGTTATGGTTTAGTTTAACTATGCTTTATAATAGAGTAGGTTTCTTCTTACATTTTGCATGTATTTTCAAACATATTTGTGCAGTTTTTATAGCACTTAATGGCATCATCTCCGATTACCCCTCACAACTGCCCTGAGAGGTAACTGTTGTTACCCCATTTTATGGATAATAAAACTAAAGCTCAGAGAAGTTACATATTTGTTTAAGGGCAATAGCTATAGGATCGGAGTGGAGACTGGAACTGAAGACATGATAAATTTTACAAAAGAAGCTACATTTAGTGGGAAATTAGCAGGGAGAGTCCATGGAATTTTGAAAGCTTCAAAGTCATTGGGAAAACCATAACAATATTTAAAAGGTAGAAAACTTATCACATAGACATAGAACAGACAGAGATGAAGAGTTGGCTGTTTTTATGTTCATTGTTTTAAACAGACAGAGCAAACGTAGTGCACCTGAGAGAGCACAGGCTCCCCTGAGTTTAACTCAAGTTCAAATCCTTGCTCTACCACTTAATAACTGTGATTTCAGACAAGTCACTTACTCTTTACATCTCAATTCCTTCTAAAATGAGAAAATAATGAGATAATCCTCTCAAATCCTACTTACCAAGGTACCCGGCACTCTAAGAGCTATTAGGATTCTAAAAACCTCATTAAATAGTTATCACTTCAAAAACAAAAACTACAAAAGTGAGACATTTCATTACAACTCAGGGATTTATTGAGTTTTGTTCATACACTAAAACTATCGGGCTTTTACATTTAAATAAGGAAGTTTGAGTTGAATTAACTGCTTTTGTATAAGAAAATGAAAAAATAGTTTCATACTCTAAACATTTACCTCTCATTTCCAGTTGGCAGGCAAGTAAGGCAAAGAGTTCACAGACAGAAACTTGATCTATCTCTTGTGGATTTAGACACAGTCCTGCTAGCAAATTACTCAAGGACATGGTGCAATGAAAACAATTCAGGAACATAATATAGAAAAAATATATGTATCAGAGGCTGAAGGTAAATTTTATTTCTTCTCTTTGTACATTATTTGTATTTTGTTGTGCTTTTTTATTTTTTCTTCTTTATAAAATGTATTGGGGTGATACTGGTTGATAACATTATATAAGTTTCAAGTGTACAATTGTATGATACATCATCTGTTCAATTGTATGATACATCATCTGTACAATTCTATGATACATCATCTGTATATTGCATTGTGTGCTCACCACCCAAAATCTAGTCTCCCTCTGTCACCATAAATTTGACCCCCTTTACCCTCTTCACCTACCCCCCCATCCCCCTTTCCCTCTAGTAACCACCCTTCTGTGGGTTTTGTTTATAGACATTACTTTTAAAAAGCAACCACAATGAAATTAATAAATCATACACTTTCATGGTCAGTTACCTCTACGACATACATATATCTAGTGCCTCACTTAAACTACACTCTCCCTAGGACCTGAGACTGTGTCTTCATATTTACTAGCGGCTGAGTAAATATTAGTTTATTACTCATGATGTTGGGACACCTGGGTAGCTATCTGACGAAATGAAAACAAAGTCAGATTCCTAGTTCATTCCTCACATCAAAGAAATACCAGAAGAGCAATAAGTCCAACACTAAAAAAAGAAGTCATAAATTACTAGAGAAAACTTTAGAGAGGAGAAGCTTATAATAAAACTGAGAAGCAGAGAACAACCAAATAAACACATTTGTTACATGAAAACTTAAAATTCTGCACAGAAAGAAAATAGCTTTAACAATGTCGGAAGACAAATAACAAACTAGGACAATGGTATGTTTGCTTTAATAAGAAAGACACTTTATGCATAAAATTTTTTATATTGTATGTATATTATATTTTATGTAAACAAAATGGAAGAAAATAAACGAGTGGCAAAAACAAGCAGTTATGGAGAAAATTAAAAATGTTAACAATATAAAAGATGATTAATTAAATAAATGCATATTCTAATAATGAGAACCAGTTTCACCTAGTAGGTTGACACACAGATCATAATGTTTGCGTTGGTGATACTATGCAATTGTATATATGCAATATAGAATTGACGAAATTAGCATTTTGGAGGACAGTTGTTGTAGTCCTCAACACTGAAAATGCACATCTCACTTCAGCAGCAATTCTGCAGGTCGAACTTATCCTATAAGGATATATTTCTATCTTTTCACCAAGACAAATATACAAAGACATGCTAGAATGCCCAGTCAGTGATGGAAGATGCCCCATTTGTCTTGTTTGCTTCATTTTGTGCACTGCCAGGCAAATTATAGGAATTCAAAAAATAATCATTGAATGAAGGAATGAACAACGTGCATGGCAGCACTGCCATTGTCTGATGACAGCTCCGTACTAGGGACTGCTTATTAAATGTTAATCTAATAAATTCATGCAATACAATAGCATGCAGCCCATAGAAGAATAAGATATATGTATACATGCGGAAATGAGATGATCGGGTTTTAAAAAAAGGCAAAATGTAAAACACATGCATATGCTTGTGTGAAGCCGGCTATCTGGACAGAGAAACACGAAACAGCAACAGTGACCGCCTCTGGGCAGATGGCTGGAAAGTAAGGTTTGGAGTCGGGAATTTTTTTCCTTTCGAAAGTTACTTTCAGAAACTTACTCTTCTCTACTATTTATGGATTATTTTTACCATCGGTAGTCTTTACTTTTTTAATTAAAAATTAGTTGCCAACAACCAAAAGACGTCATACTGAGACACGTTGGGATTCTGTACTATAATATTTCCCCTGCCTTTCAACTCGCAGGGTGACACTGAGCAAGCCACCTGGAGAAAGGGCTAGACATGTTCAATCACTGGGCGCTTACTCTGCGCCCAGTTCTGTGCTGGGTACTCACTGTTCTGTCAAATGGGTTCATGATCGGTCCTCGAAACCAGTCAGTGAGGTAGATATTCTCACCATTATTTAACAGATGAGGATGCTGAGCCCAAAGTGACGTCAGTAAAAGTCACATCCCTCTTTCTGATTCCTGTCTTCTCACCACCCCTTCTCTTAACCGGCAAGCTGTACCATACCTGAAAACCCAAAGAAACAGCCTCATCCTTCATCCGTCCGCCCAAACCATACTGGACTACGTTAAAGTCTTGACACTTAAGGATTACTATTAATAACACTATCTCGGTAGAATTTGGCTTTAGATCTTCGGTTTTACTGGCAATTTCATTCTCCCCGCCAAATGTGGAGTTAACTGAGATGTAATAAAATCTAGGCTTCCTACTTCTCAGCTGTTGCTTTTTTTTTATATCATCTACTTTCTGCCAGAGAAGAGAAAAAGCATTTCTCCCAAACTTAGTAAGTTCGGGACACTCATCTAGAGCAGAGTTCCAGTGTTTGAGATCAATGGGCCATCATCACCCCGGAGGGCTCCAGCTTGGTGGAGGTTTTCCGTTTCCATGACGGAGAGAAACTGGAAGGACCGGCACTGGATCTCTCAGAAGACTCCCAGGCACAGTGCTCGCTGCCCAGTGCGCCAGGGGCGCGTTCCCACCAAGGGGGGCAGGACAGCACACCCACGAGTGCCCAGCCCTGTCCACACGGAGGGGCGCAGCGGGGAGGCACCCTTACCCGCCAGGCCAGGTCCAGGTCGAAGTCTCGGGCGCGCAGGAAGCGCAGCAGGAAGGAGTCGGTGAGCGACGCGGGCGGAGCGCCCGCTGCCCGCGCGCGGCACCGCAGCTCGGCCAGGGCCGGCTGCAGCAGCGGCGAGTGGTCGGGCAGCGCGCTCAGCTG